CTTGGACTTGGCTCCAACCCCCTTTCTGCCTTCTTGGCCCAATTGGCTCCACTGTCCTGGCCAAGCCTGAGTAGAAAACTGAGGGCCCGTTTTCCCAGCCCCACGGTGGATGTCTAAGGTCCGAGTCCCAGGTGCCAGCTGGAAGGGGCTGAGAGAATAACTTGGGCCAGGGCCGAGTTTGGAGAGTGGGCAGGGCAGGCTGTGTCTGATAACATTCATGAGGTCCCAGTGCCTGGACCCAAGCTGCCTTGCTCCCCGCCAGCTCCCTCCCCAGACCCTGCTCAAGTTACCCAGCAAGGCAAACCTGGTGTTCGGGGACCATCTGTTGCTTAAGCCCCTCAGAGACCCGCAGGATTATCTTACCTCACAGGCTTGCTTAACACGCAGATCTAAGCCTGGAGGATGGAGGGGCTGCGACTAGAAGGGCAGGCAGCTGAGGCTCCTGCAGCAGGACTGACAGCTGACCTTCGAAGGCTTCTGGGGAAGATCCTCCCCTGCCAGCTAGGGAAGAGGGTGGGGAGCTGGAGGGACATAGTTGGAGGTCACATGCCATGAACTGGGGCAAGGGGACCAACTGTCCCTGAGAGGGTCCGCTCTGTGCACCTTTCCAGAGCAGGGCAAGCTGTGGTGGCTGGGGGTGTGGCAGAGCTAGGACTTGCCCGAGGGCCTGGGGGCCTGGGTGAGTGTTTTCACGGGCTGTTGTAGCAGCAGCAGCAGCAGCAACAGCTAAGGCAGAGGTCCTCTGGCTCTGTCCTCTCCCTCCACCTCCCACACAGCTCAGCTGAGAAGACCCAGAGCTGCGGCCGGCCGAGTGGACACTAAGCCTCAACTCAGCCTCCTCCTTGGCCCTCCCAGCTAGCAGCTTCTTGCTCATTTCCCACTTGACTTTTCGACTCCATGGGAGCCACCCCAATCCCTGCCCCACCTCCCAGCCGAGCAGCCAGGATTGACAGGCGAGGGTCTGACACAAGTCTGACAGGGTCAGTACCTGTGCCTGCCCTTCCAGCACCCCCCCACACACACACACACCATGCATAGCTCTCTATCTGTGTTTTCCTCCCCAAACGGTCACCACTGCCCCCTCTACCCCCATTCCCTGGGATGCCCCAGAGCCCTCCTAAAGGCCTCCCAGCCACCCAGCCAGGGCCTGATCAGGCTCCCCCCACCCCCAACACCATCGCCACACCACGGATCATGTTACTTGCTGCTCAGAAGCTCCTAGTGGCTCCCTGTTGCTCAGGGAATAAAATCGAAACACTCCTATAGCCAAGACCCGCCTCAACATAATTCTAACTTCCAGTGGCAGGCACACCCTGGCTGCCTGACGCCCCCCAACCCCCACAACCCCTCCATGGGACAGTGACGGTGAGTCCACAGCCTGAGCGACTGGGAGCTATGCATCATGTCATCTCCCCAGCACCCAGCTACACACCATCCCCAAATCATCCTTCCAGAGTGTTAGGGACCCACAGACAGTCAGTCACCAGAGAGAAAAGCGGGGCAGTGGCCCAAGGGTTCATTTCAGCAAGCGGCCAGAGTGTGTGCTGGCAGGCTTCCTTCCCAAAGGCTGACCACGGTCCAGGTCAGAGGCAGTGGAGGAATGAAATGACCCCATTCAATCGCTTCCAGTGTGGAAAAATCCCTCAGAAATAATGCGGACATTCTGTATCATGTTCCAGGGAGAATGAAGGCGTGGGTATGGAATTTCGGGCTGCCCTTACAACAGAGACCCCATTTAAGTCAACGAGGGTTGCAATTGCACCCACGTGGAAGCTATAGTTCGGTATTGGTGAAACGCCTGGGTTCTGGAAACAAATGGAACAGCGTTTGAATCTCAGCTTGGCTACTTTGTAGCTGTGCATTCTGGGCAGGCTACTGAAATGCTCTGGTTTCCCCCTTTTGCCGTTCTTTAAGGTGGAAAGAATCATTCCTGTCCCCTGAAGCTCTTCTGCAGATGAGGCGAGGGGATCTGCAGGCTCCAGAGAAAGCACTGGATTAAGTGGCTCTTGCTTTTCTATATAAGATCTATGCCTTTGTTCAAGGAGCTATGGCGGCGCTGTCTGGTAGACACTGGGCTGCTATCCACAAGGTCTGTAGTTCGAACCCACCATTGCTCCACTGGGAGGAAAATGAGGCTTTTCGTTCCCCTAAATATGTAAAGCAGTGGTTCTCAACCTTCCTAAGGCCGTGACCCTTTAATACAGTTCCTCATGTTGTGGTGACCCCACAACCAGAAAATGACTTTCGTTGCTACATCATAACTGTCATTTTGCTACAGTTATAAATCAGGTGACCCCTGTGAGAACTGCTAATTTAAAGTCTCAGAAAGCCAAAGGGGCGGTTTTGCTCTGTTCTATAGGGTCACTCCACCAGCTGCTCCAAGGGAGGAAAAGGGCGACTGACCCCATCAAGATGGACAGACTCGGGAGCGCACACACGGGCAGTTTGCTCTGTACTGCAGGGTGGCGAGGAGTCGGAACAGCCTGGACTGTGGGACGTGTGGGGTTTGGTTTTCCAACCTGAGTGTTGGCGGGGGCACTGCCTTAGAAAGGCCCACGGTGAGCTACGTCTGTAAGCACCACAAGCCAAGAAGACCCCATGAGCCATTCTCCTCCGTAGCTCAACAGCAGTGCGCTGGTTGGTTTCGCAGTTTTTGGAATTTTTTTTCATTTCATTAATTTTATTATTAAATCATTTTTACTGCTCTTACAGCTCTTATGACATTCCAGACATCGATTGTACTCAAGCATATTTGATTTTGTTTTTGCTTTTTTTAAAGCACATTTGTTATTAATGTACTTCTAGAATATTCTAGAATATTCCTTCCTCAGTGGAACTTCACACAGAGTGGTGACTGGAATCCACTCCTAGCTGGTGTGAA